CTCCTGCCTCAGCCTTGTGAGTAGCTGGGACTACAGGCGCCCGCCACCTCGCCCGGCTAGTTTTTTGTATTTTTTAGTAGAGACGGGGTTTCACCGTGTCAGCCAGGATGGTCTCGATCTCCTGACCTCATGATCCGCCCGTCTCCGCCTCCCAAAGTGCTGGGATTACAGGCTTGAGCCACCGCGCCCGGCCTACAAAAAATAATTTTAAAAAATTAGCTGGACATGGTGGCGCATGCCTGTGGTCCCAGCTACTCAGAGGCTGCGGCAGAAGGATTGCCTGAGCCCAGGTGTTCAAGGTTCCAGTGAGCTGTGATCATACTACTAGACTCCAGCCTGGGCAACAGATTGAGACCCTGTCTCAAAACAAAACGAAAAACCAGAATGAAAAGCCTAAAACTTAGAGAACATATTTATTAAACACATATCTGCTATAGGATTACTATTCATAATATATGAAGAACTGTCACAACTCCCTAAGAAAATAAGCCAACCAAAACAGACAAAAGATTTGAACAGAAATGTCATCAAAGGAGATATATGGAAGGCAGGCAAACACATGCAAAAATGCCTGATATCATTAATCATTAGAGAAATCAAAAAAAAAAAAAAAAAACACATGAGATTACACTCCACGCCACTATAGTTGCCAAAATACTTTTCAGAATGACAGTGCTTAGTGCTGAGAGGGCAGAGCGACTGCAATTCTACGTGTTCCCGGTGGGAAAAGAAAATGGTGCAGGCCCTTAGACAGTTTGCAGTTGCTTCTATGGTCCAGCCATTCCATGTGAGAAATGAAAACATACATCCACACAGAATCTACATGCAAAAGTTTACAGCTTGATTCACAATTGCCCAAAACTGTAAACAACTTATATGTCCATCAGTTGGCAATGGATAAACAAATGGTACATTCGTACAATTAATACTAAGGAGTAAAAGGAAACATGCTACCGTTGTGTGCGGCAACTTGTATGACTCTCACATGCACCACACTGGGTGTAAGAAGCCAGATTCAAAGGCCAGCGTGCTGTATGATGCCATTGGTGTGACATTCTGGAGTAAAACTATAGGGACCCAAAACACATCAGTGGTGGCAGGGGCTGCCAGTAGGACTAGGGGTTGACTCAAGGGGTCACACAGGAATTTGGGAGTGATGCAGCTGTTGCATACCTTGATGGTGGTACTAGGTGCATGGGTGTATGAATTTACCAAAGTTCATAGAAAATGAAAAAGGGTGACTCTCACTGCATGTGAATTGTACCTTAATAAACCTGATGTTTAAGAAAGGTGAATCCAATTATTTTATTCCTCTGCTCAAACCCCTCCACTGCCTTCCCTAACCCTCCTGCCCACCCCCTCCATCCACCCTGCCTCAAGGCCTCCCTGGCCCTTTGGGTGACACAACAGGGCCAGTGTACTCGGGGGCTCCTTTTACCTTCAGGGCACACAGGCTTCCTCTTCGGGAGACTTTGATGGCTGTCCTGTCCACAGCTGAAGCCCTGCTGATATTTCCTGTCCCCTTCCCTACTCTGCTCTTCTTGCCTTGACACTTTTCACTCTCCGGTACACTTTATCTTTTTTAATTGCTGCTTTATTGGTAGACTAAAGCGGTGTCAACTCCAGAAGGGAAGTTTTTTGGCCCCATCACTTGGAACAGTACCTGACATTTAGTAGGTGTTCAGTAAATATTGTTGGATGAATGGCTAGAGTGCTGCCATCTTCTTCCTAAATCCCCATTGCCCGTCCCATGCACACATATGCACATGCGCACAGCGCGCGCACACACGTCAGACACACGTGTGCACATGAGGTGGATGCCCTGCTCACCTGCCTCCTCTTCTGGGCAGACTCGGGGCAGGGAGAGCTGTGAGCAGCTTCTGCATCAGCGTTTGTTCCCACTGCACCCTCCTTCCAGCACCATCTGTACCCCATCTCCCCCTACACCATTCATCTCCCCACCTGCACCAGCTCTGTCCCATTGGCGGCTGCAGGGCTGCTCCTAACGTCTCTGTCTTTTCCCCTTCCCCACCATCATCCTGGTCTAGCTGGGACAAAGCAGCATCAGTGTGACGCGGAGTTGAGGAAGGAGATTTCCGTTGTGTGGGCCAATCTGCCCCAGAAGACTCTGGACTTGCTGGTACCACCCCATAAGCGTAAGTGTGAGGGTGGGAAATGCCCCCAGCCCGCACCTTTCCTGTCCCACCCAGAGTGGCTGGAGGGCTGTGGAGGTGAGGGCGAGGGACGAAGGGCAGGCCTTCGAGAGGCCTTGGAGGGCGGGCTCACCTCCTCGTGAGTCTGCGCTCAGCTCCAACCAAGGGAGCCCTGGGTGGCAGAGGAGCCGCGGAGATGAGCGTGGGTTTGTGGTGTTGAGCTCCTGGTGTGTGGAATGTATTTTTTAAAATCCAGAGGAGAGGCAGGAGGGGATCCCACAGAGATGTGAGGGAGCGCGGTGAGATGCCCACCTCCATCTTGGAGTGAGGGAGCGCCGGGAGGTGCCCGACTCCATCTTGTGGGAGACGTGAGGGAGCGCGGGGGTGCCCAACTCCATCTTGTGGGAGACGTGAGGGAGCGCGGGGAGGCGCCCGACTCCATCTTG